GTTCAATAATTTCGCCTAGCAACCGCCCAGTAATAGTATTTCGGCGTTCTAAATTAGTGTGAAAATTAGGGATCGAATGATGCGATTTGTAAACCTTCCATACCTGCCGTATAAACATTCCTATAGAGACCGAATGTTCATATGGTATAAAGGCCTAACTTCCAATACTTCTTCATGAATATTCGTTCATAGAAATAGTTTGATATAAAAACTAACCTTTCTCGAAATTGGTCCATTTTTTCAATCCCGACCCATATTACGCTGTAATGACAAATAAAGTTTTGTCTACCAAAAATATCTCATTTTCATTATTACATGATACAAATTTGCCCTTCCTAAGGTAAAGAATTTGAATTACATCGATTTATGCCCACCATCACCATATATAGGGGCTTTCATAAAAGTACAGTCTTCTATGACAAATCATCCAATGTAAAGGTTGTCATAAAAGTTTTTGGATGGAATCTGCGAAATGAAATTTTCATACCACCGATCATAATGGGTACAACTACTGATTTTCTTTTATTATTAATTAAAAAAAAAACAAGAAAATTAGAAATAGCTTTGTAGATACAAATTAATTAGACTTTAATTATTTCGCCTGGAACTTCTAAGCAAATAACCTTAGATTTTGGCGTATCGTTTTCATCAAACGCTCTGAGAGTAAAAATAACTTTATAGCGTCCTTCCATTGGGACCATAGCGTTTGCTTCAGCCTTCAATACAAATGGTTTATGACGATATGTTATCTATAAATTTAAGTTACATTATATGAGAAGATAACTAGAAAAGACCAAAATATACCCCTTCTTCAAAACAGTGAAGATCCTCTGGAAAAACGTATTGCGACCAAACTTCGTACACATAGCTGCGAATATTTTTTTGGTCCTTGCATACATCTTCGCTTCTTACAACGAGAGGAGTTGGTTGCCAACCACCACGTACAAATTTCTTTAATTCCACTAGAAGCTGTGAAATATTTACTCAATAAATTTTAAACTATTCTCAGGTTGGAATTGTAAACATTGTACGTTCAATAAATCTTTTTTCAGATAGTGAATTTCGCGTACAGATATGTTTTACTAATACATTAACAAAATTATTATTTTATCATTCCATGTTTGTCCCAAATGTATGAGATGCAAAAGAATGAGATGGTAGAACACTTTTCTTAAAATTTTTTGGAAGAATTTCGGTCTCCTTTTTTTTATTCATTATCATTATTCAAATTCATTCATTTTAGGCCGAACTGACTCTGATTTTCTGTTTAAAACGTAATTCAAACGAAACTTGTAAGAATCGATTATTGTATCACTTAAAGTCCTTTCAAACTCATCATTTGAAGAGTCAAAAAATCGGAAGTAAACCTTTACCTTAACAACGAAGGAAGTTATTTTCGGCTGGAGGGAGTCTCTTTTTGGCGTTACATGCTTTTATTTATTATCGTAGAAAGGTGGATGGGACAAAATTTATCTCTCGACTTTTACTTCACTAAAAGGCATTGAAAAATTAAACTACCACGTCGTGACTTCAACTATAATTAATTTGGCATTAACACACTTAACTCCCCAAGCCCTTTCACTTGACTTCACCCATATGGGCGATATTTTTAAGGAAAATCCACCATGTCGTGACGTACACTACAATTAATTTCGAATTAACACACATACCTTGTCGCCTTCTATTCTGCAAGTGCGTTTATTTGATACCCATATTGATGGTATTGTTAGGAAAAAATTACTCCACCAGGTTAACCAGTAAACTTATAAACGATAAACTTGAGATGATTGTCGTCCAAAATTATCCATAATTTCTATGACAAGTTAATTACTAATTATTATTTAATTAATTAATAAGTTTCATTTTGAATTAATTAAATTAATTAAATCATTAATAATAATAATAATTAATTAATGAATTAATAATAGTAAGCATTCTGTGAGGAGTCGTATCACATATTGCGATTACATCTCAGTGATTTGAACGGCGCGCTAGGTTAATTTAAATTAACTTAACTTATAGGCGATAGTTTTAAGTGATTGAACTGCTATAATGAACACGAAGGAAGCTTTTGCGTTCTATGCCAGTATTTTCAACTTTAGAATGCACAAAATGCCATAAAAATTTGGTAAAATTTGAGATCTAAGTTTTAAAAGCGAAATAATAAAATTAATATAATTTTGTGGTGCGGTGAGCATTAAACAACTGAGTTTATAACATGTTTGCCACGACGATCAATTTATTGTCGAATCATTCCAGATAAATAGGAGAAAAATTGAAATTCCTTTACAAGTTTACAATTTTTCTATAATTTTTCCGATTTTGATATTTACCGAAACGCGATCAGTTCCCTTTACATCCCAAAGTATGACAAAAGATCCATTCATATGAATTCCTTCGTCATCATAAAATATATCCGTTCCACTGAAATCTATGAAGTCACTAGGACCACCAACTTCTGTGATATCGGAACAAGCACGAAATATATCCTGGTCTTCAGTTAAAAAACGGTAAATAGCCTGTACTAGGAGCGTTTCTACAACGATTACGGTTGCGATAACAGCCGTTGAACGGTTGAGGAAGTTCATTGTGTTGGCACCGAGTTACGTGAATTGACTGAAGTTTTTCTTTGCACGGAAGCGTACTTTTATTTGCGGCCTTGGAGCTACGTGGCCAACGAGCAATTAATAGCGCTTATTACTTATATATATATATATATTTATAACTTATGCTCGCTTGCAAACAAGTAAAAATCAAGTGAAAATACTATAATGAGACGCCCTGTTACCACTTCGCCTAATGCATTTAGTTATTCGCATAACTTTTTAAAATAAAGTTTTTTATGGGAAGTGTTTGAAAATGTGGTCGGATTCGAATCATTCGCAATACCGTCCCTCCTTAGGATAAAATAGGTCGTTGTACACAATTTTAGCCAAATACCTCAAATATTTGCAACCTGCATGGATAGATGGACAGACAAACGGACAGAAGCCACGCACTGAGAAGTTTTATTCGGTCCGGAAAGTGATTCTGGATCGATCGGTGTAATGTTAAAAGCTGGTCCTATCTCAAATCCTTTTGGACGTTGTATACATCTGCACAAACTTAACATACCCTTGTACCACAGCTGATATAAAGTATAATATCATTAAAATATATATATCATTAAAATATATTCGTACAACATTTTTTGCACGAATACAAAAATTAACGGGAAAAAGAAATGTAGATTAAAAAAACACACGGCAAAAAAAAACTACTAAGAAAATTAAATCTGGTCGGGACCGAATCTATTATACCCGTTACCGTTTACCCCCCAAAAAAGATAAAAGAAATAAAAGAACAAAATTTTTCTATAATATGGAGCGGGC